TAGCTAAAGGCTACAAAACAAAAACCTGCCAGACAGGAGAAATGTTCCTTTGAGTTGTTGACCAGTGTAGTCCAAGAGACTCACAAATTTATACAAACTATTGCCTTGAATGCGTCACAGAACTTGAAGGTAAGATCCTATTGCTGAAGACAGTACATTGAGATGCTCCATATGAAATACATACGCAAAAATTCAATAAAAAATTTAAAAAATAAAATGGCAAGTTCTTAAAATAATAACCAGAAATGTTCAAAAGTGCCAGCTATGAAAAGATTAAGGAACTATTACAGATTTGCTAAAACTAAGGAAACAACAACTAACCAAACTGGTTGGAGTCTAGGAAAGGGACATAAATGAAGACTGTAGAAACAGGAATAAGGCCTACATACACATTATCAACAGCACTAGACCTAAGAGAGTGCTATCAAAGAAAATGTCCTGGGTGATAGGAAATTCAAGATTTGTGGGGATTAGGCTAAAGGCAATAGCCTTTAGCTATGTAAAGTAGAACACTAATAGACCAGTCTTTCTGGCCAAAAGAAACAGAAGAGAGTCCAGGACACTCACAGAGACTAGAGAGCGAGGGGTACCCCAGAAAAGACAGCTAGCAAGGAGGAATGCAAGTCTGGGCATAGAGCAGCCCAAATCTAAGGCTTCGCTGTGGCACTGCAAGCATGGAACAAACTCTAGGGAGACTTAAAGACCTGAACTGAGGTTGGAGCTGCTGCCCCAGGAGTTGTAGCTGGAATTCTTCTAAGTTAATTATTTTCTAAAAAGTCAATACTCTTTTGAGGAATATATACAGATCCAGAGTCCTCCTCATGTAATATTCAAGATAACCAGGACAAAATCCAAAATCACTTGACATATGAAGAATGAGGAATAAGTTACAAAGGCTGAAGAAAAAAATGTTAAATAAAAGTTTGAGATGACACAGATGGTGAAATTTTCAAGTAAGAATTTCATGACAGTTACAGTTATTCAGTGATGTTTAGAAAAATATATAATGAAGAGATAAACAATCTCAACTGAGAAAGAGAAACATCAAAACCAACAGAAATTCTAAAACACAGAATCTAAAAGGAGAATGTTACTATACACCCTGAAGAGTGAACACAGATGACAGGAGGAGCCAGTAGACTTAAAAACTGATCAGTTAAAATCATCCACTCGGAAGAACATTTAAAGGGTATTTTTAAATGTGCATTCTCCCCACTAAGATTGTAATAAACATAAATAGAAAATAACAGCATTTTCACAGAACGAGAGAAAGTGGAGCCTCGTTCGTTGCTGGTACAAACAGTGTGGCTGCTGTGTAGAAGCCTGGCAGTTCCTCAAAACATTAAACAGCAATTCCACCAGCACCAACGTTCCCAGAAAAATTAAAAACAGGTATTCAAACATAACAAATGCTCAGAGTAGCATTATCTATGATAGCAATATAAGGTGGAAACAATGCATATGATCATCAGCTGATGAAGAAACAAATCTGCTATCAGCCACACAATAGATTATTCAGCCATAAAAAATACTGAAGTGCTGAATGAACTTCAGAAATGTGCTAAGTGAAAGAACTCAGGCACAAAAGGTCCCATCTCCCATGATTCTCCTTATGCAAAATATCCAGAGCAGGCAGCTCCATAAAGACAGAAAATCCAGCAGTGCACGGATGACCAGAAAAGAGACGACAGCTATGTAGTGTCTACTGGGTTTCTGTTTGGATTGCAGGACAAAAACGATGGTTGCACAATACTGTAAATGCACTAAATGCCACTGCATTGTACAATTCAAATTACTTTTATCTCAGTAATTTTATCTGTTAAAAAAAATTAAAGATGAACAGTGTCTCTGTGATCTGTGGTATAGATTTTCACAAAATTGAGTAAAAGGAAGAAATTTATAAAGGAAGCCAGTGATGCATCTTTAAATGTATAATGTGCACACACATACATGTATGAATCTAGATTATCTTACCACCTACATATGCAGTGTTTATCCTGGAAATTCAAGGCAAATCACCCTATTAATAAAGAGGGAAAAAACATGATTTCAATGTACAAAGGAAAAACATTTAACAATTGTCAGTACTTATTTATGATTAAAAAAAATTCAGTCACCTAAAATAGAAGAGAACCTCTTCAATGAGATGAAGCGCACCTAAAAGCTATCTACTGCTAACATCATATTTGATGAAGAAATGATGAACTCTTTTCACCTAAGACCGAAGCCCATCTTCACAACTTCTATTTGGTCTTATGTTAAGTCTTAACCATTATAATAAAAAACAATAATAGAAGTATCAGATCAGACAAAGAAATGAAACTTTACATTTGCAGGTAACATGACTGCTTACATAAAATTCCAGAGAAACTATAGCCACCCAACTAACAAGTAACTTCAGCAAGGTTTAAAAATGTCAGTTAATGTACAAAAAAATTCTATTTTTATGTAACAATAACTGAAAAAGCAATGCAATTTATACATTGAAAAAAGAAAATAATGCACCTAACAAAAGATGTATAAATACTGAAAACTACCAAGTACTGCTGAAAAAAATGAAACCCTGGAAGTCAAGTGTGGTGGCATATGCCAAATCCCAGCACTTAGGAGGCAGAGGGAGGCAGAAGAATGAGGCATTCAAGGTCAGCCTGGGCTACCTGAGACTCTTAGAAAACCCCAAATAAACTTGAGTAGATACTAAATAAATGAAGAGCTATACTATGTTCATGGATTATATCTTAGTCTGTTTTATGTTGCTGCCACAGTACAACAGATACTATACAATTTATAAAGAAATTTCTCACAGTTCTGGAGGCCAGCCAAGGGCCAATTTCCCAGGTGTGGCATATGGAGAGGACCTCTTGCTACAGCTATGGCAGGAGTAAGAGACAGGGTAGGAGAGAAGAGAAGAGGGCTGGACTCGCCCTTTATAATAATCAATCTACTGCGAGGACAGCATCAATCCACTCGTGAGGGTAAGGCCCTCAGGACCCAATCACCCCATTAGGCCCCATCTTCCAACAATGCTAGGGATTAAATTTCCAACACATGATTTTTGGAGCACACAAACCATAACAGAATATAAGACACACAATCAAACCATAATAGACTATAAGATACGGTAATTTCAAAGTAGCAATTCTTCCCAAATTATAGAATTATAATCTGTATAATCTCAGTCATATCCCACCAGCACTTTCTTCTGTAGAAGCTGGCACAGTGCTTCTAAATTTTATGTAGAAATGCAAAAGATCTATGATGAGAGCAATCTTCAAAATAAAATGTCACAGCAAAGGGCGTAGAGAACTTGAGACCATGATAAAGCTACAGGAATCATGTTTGGCTCTTGCAAAAGGACCAAACACTGGAGAAGAGAGAGCCCAAATTTAAGCCTGCACTTTAAGGATTATTTTAATCCTTTGAGGGAGACTTCATCATAATTAATGTTATGTGTGGTCTGAATTTATCATCGTCATAAGAAATCACATTTCTCTTAGCTATCCTAATGTGAACTAACCTAATAGAGACCTGCAGGACACACTGCTTATATAAAGCTGGGAAGTAGGAGCCAGGCAGTATACTGGCTTTCTGTGTACCTGCATTCTGATAAATAATAGGCAGGGACAATAACATGTAGTTCGACATTCCATTGATATTGTCTCTTAAATCTCTGAGATGTTTCTTCTCTTAACCTAAGAGTTTCATCTTCAAATGATACAAACGATTGTACTTCAAAATACAACTTGCTGGAGCCCTGAGAGCTTTGGCTTCCTCGACTCATATTAACTGGATACATAATCTGGTTACACGTGTTTCCAGTGTGCCATGATCTCAAATAGTTGAGAACAGATCCCACCTAACACAAATGCTACACAAAGAAATCATCCCACAGGAGCTTAAAAGCAAGTACAAGCCAGGCGGGGTGGCGCACGCCTTTAATCCCAGCACTTGGGAGGCAGAGGCAGGCGGATCTCTGCGAGTTCAAGGCCAGCCTGGTCTACATACTGAGTTCCAGGCCAGGTGGGGCTACAGGGAGACCCTGTCTCAAAAACAAAACAAAACAAAAAAAAAACAAAACAAAAGCAAGTACAAATTACTGCCCAGTCTCCTCCAGGCTTCAGTGGGGCCTGTATCTCCTCTGCTTTAAGCTGAGCAGGCTGTGATCATTTGACCTGCAGGGTATGATGAAAGGGATGCAGTCACAGTTTCAGGGGCCAGGCCTCAAAGGATGGGCAGTTTTCATGTCTAGCCACCATACTGTAAGGAAGTTCAATGAGGAACTCAGGTCTCTTGCTGAACTCCAGGCCAAGGTCAGCATGAACTTGCCAGTCACACTGGAAGTGCATTTGCCTAGCACACCTGACACACCCCAGGTGACCCTGAAGACCAGAAACAGGGCATTCCTGCTAAACCTTTCCCACACCATAGACTGGAGGACAGAATGACTAATTCTTGGAACACTATTACAGAGCAACAGACACTGGGCTACTCCCCAATATTATATACCCCTCAACATAAACTGGCATTCTCAAAATGGAGCCTGATGGCACCAACCCCACTGCCTCAAAGCTCAGTCAGTCAGGTGTTATTCGTATGACACCAAAAGATCACAGGGTCAATAAAGAAAAGCAGCCAGGCGCCCGCACTCCTCACAGTCACTTTTATTATCCTCACCCACAGCAGAGAGCCGCTCACACTGTGAAAGCAAAGATTACATCGCCTCTCGAGAGCACCTTCACTTTATCATTACTTGAAAGAACAAATCCTTTTCAATGATGAGCATCTTGGATTCCAAGTGTTTAAGCCTCCGCCTGCATTTTGTTGTGTCTGAAAAGGAAGAAGCGTGTTTCAGCCAAAGCTGGAAGGCGGCGTTGGAGAGTTTTTAACTTTGAAGTGGACCAGAAGTCTTCAAAGCTGACTGAACCAGTCTGTAATTTCCATATGCAACTTTTCATAGTAAAAATCTTTCCTTTTACCTCTATGCAGAGATGCTAGGTTTTTTTTTGTTTTTGTTTTAAAGAATATCACAAAGAGACACAGAGACAGAGACACAAGACACACAGACACACACACCGATCACAGCATTCCTCATAGGGAAAATGAACTGCTGCCCTCTCCTGCTAAAACAATGAAATGCCGAGACACCAGAAGTCGAAGCAAAACTCAAATCAAAGGCAGTGGACATGTCATTCTTATTATACTCCAGTCAAAAACCAGACAACAACCAGAAAATGTATTGGTAATATTTATATTTGAAAGTTCCCCATTGATACATGAGGTTTGGATTACAACTTATTTACAGCAAGTGATTTCAAAAAAAAAAGTAAAGGAGGGATGGGCTGAGAGAGAAAAAAAAATAGAGAAGGGAAGGGATGGGGCGAGAGAAGGGGAAGAAGAGGGAGGAGGTGGGAAGAGGAACCTGTATTCATAGACATAGTACGGGATGTTCATTTCCAAGACACTACAGCTGCCATCGTGCACACGAGGCAGCACAAACTAACATTCCGCTACGTCAACGTCTGCTCGACTTTCTCTCGAGATGCACAATCCATCTTTCAGGTTTTCAAAATTAAATATAGAGGAATATAAAATGCATTGCCATTATACCTATTACAAAAATCCTTTATGGCTCATTCCTTAACTCCACGCAGAGAAGCAACTGAGCCAGAATACAAAAATAAAAATATTCATGTGCAAATAAAACATCACTGATCATATCTGCCGCCACCTTTTGCTACAGGTGACCGTCACTTTGTGATAACATTGATAATAACATCAAAGGAGAGAATCTCTTCATTTCCTGGGCCAGGTCAGTGCATCCAATTAAAGGGAAAAACAACAGAACACAAAAAAGAAAACTCTGGAATACTTAATGCCAAAAACATCCTAAGAGCCACACATCCCTTTTTCCCACCCCCATCCCCACAGAAAAATAAAAAAGCTTTTAAAGCTCTAATATACTTTTTTTTTCCTTTTCATAATGTGATTACACCTAGGCTGCTGTTTCAATGCAGCAGGTGCACGGGCAGCCCCCAGCCCTGCACCCTGGGCTGCCCCATGGACAGGAGGAACAAAGTCAGTGAGATCTCTCCATTTAGAAGCAGCCCAAGAAGGAGCCTAACCCTGCTCGTGAGCATCCAGTGGCACTGAGGGGGCTATTTTTTTCTTTTATTAAAAAAGTGTTGGGGGAGCAAAACATAGTAAAAATTGAAAAGGACAAAAACTAAACACTGAAAGTGAACATCTGGGCACAGCAGCACAATGAGAAGGAATGCGTGCTTGATTCGGAAACGTCACCTCACTCACAGAGCTGTTCCAGGCCCACAGTCTACGGCCTCAGCATCATTCTAAACCACAGGGTTGTATTTGTATCGTTTCTTCCAAGGACATTCTTAGTCCCATCCCTCAAACCAATATGGTAGGGATAAGGTGGAGCGATCAGCACTCACTAACTACAATATTTGCTATTTTAAAAAATATATTTATATATAGTTCTGGAAACTATGAAGCAAACAAAATATAACACAAAGATGCATTTGTCACAATGAACTCAAGTTGTAGCAACAGCAGAATTGTGCAGGAAGGGACAGTGAGAGGGCTGCTGCAAATGCAGCAAATACTTCCTTCAATATGTCACACAGTGCAACAGTCAGATTACCTCGGCTAACTTCGTGTCACCACACACAACATGACAAATGTCACATTGTCACGTTCAGTTAAAAAAGAAAAGGACAGTGTTTCTTCTCAGAAGCTGCCCTGGAATTTTGAACAGACAGCTTTAACTGATTCTTTAAATAAGTCTAAAGCTTGGCTTTATTCTCAGTCTGGAATGATCAACACACAAAATCGACAGAGGATGTCTGTGCTGTTCTCACCTTAACCGTGAGGACAGGGTAAGGTGCAGAAAGGGATCCTGGCACTTCTTATTTCAAATGAATGCATTTCAACCCCAGGTGCAGAGATCACAGCAAACAAAGTTTATATTATCAACACTACATGTAATGAGAGTTGAAACTAAAGGCTAAAATCAAAGAGCTAAAGGAGACTTGTTACAGATTTCTTATTAATATTTTTCACCTTTGTTCCAGCATTTTTTTTTTTTTTTTTTTTTGTTTTTTTTAAATTTTTTTTTGGTCTTTTTGAGACAGGTTCTCCCTGTAGCCCCAGCTGACCTTGAACTCACAGAGATTCACCTGCCTCTGCGCCTGGCACCTGAGTGCTGGGACTAAAGGTGTGCGCCACCACACCCAGCTGTTCCAGCACTTTTAAAGTGGCTTCACATACCACAGTCTGTGCTGACATTACATTGAATCCTTGTTAATGGCTCTTTAAGAAAAAGAGCTCTCCACTCCATTAAACCATCTTGAATATGGTGGTACATACTAGTTTTTCTTACTGCTGCCACTTTGGGGAATTAACAATGGCAATTTTGGTCTGCCTTGCTTTTTTTTTTTTAAACAAAGTACTGATGAAAGTATCCAAAATCAGCTGACTTTTATGCACACACTGTGACTGATAATCTGGAAACACTTCACTGGAAAAGTTGTGGGTTTTTTATTTTGTTTTGTTTTTCTTTTCCTTAGAAACACTAAGACTTCATATTCTACATTTGAAAGGAAGAAAATATACAAGCCCATATTTATATTGCCTTTCTATTAAGAGCAATAGTTCATGTGTTGATGTTAGTTACTATCCCAACTCAACATATGAACACACAGTCGCCTCTGCGTCACGAACACTGCTGGATGTGATGGTTTGGGATTATCAACTCACTGCTACCATGCCCCTAATGGCAAAAGCATCCTGGAAGCAAACTCAAAACACACATCTTTCAGTACACAAAGATGCAACCACATCAGTAAGTGCATACTGTACATCAGCAATTTACCTACCCAGGATATAAGACTTCTCTTTCATACAGAGCAGAGAGCCAGTAAGATATACCTATAATACAGTGCTAGATATTGGTTTTTGTTGTTGTTTTTTTTCTTAAACAATTTGGTCACAATGCACCTTTGATATAAAAGCATTTTTTAAATTTTATTATTAATACTCAGGACATTAGGAATTTCCAGATTTTTTTTTTCAGTAGCATTTGTAGAACCACTTTAGGTAACAAATACAGTAGTTAGGAATATGCATCCAGTTTCAGATGCATAATGTTGATCCTGAATCCTTTCTGGCTAAAAACAGGGCTGGCACTGTGATGAGCTACAGAATGAGCATCTACAAAAAGCACTGGAACATACTTGTTTTCTCCCAGAGGCTACATCCTCTTTTGCTGGAATATTTTATAAAGACATTAAAAAGTAAGGCATCAACTCCAACAGCCCAAACTGTTCATTCACTCAACTCTTTTCCAATCAGATTCACAATCCTGGCAATCAATTTCATGGTTATATCATTTAGTGTTTTGTCTGTCTTAGACGAAGTAGTCTAAGAATGTGGTCCAAAAGGCTGTTTCTCTGACATTTCTAAACATCTCTGGTATGGATGCACAATGAGGAATGCAACTAACACTGGCCAGGCACTGAAGCCTGCGGTGTCCCAGTACCTGTTTTCAAGGATTCAAGACATTGATTCAGACTCAGGGCATCTGACACTGGAGTCTGATATTCCCTCCTCTACTGTTTATCACCTCTTCTCTTTTCACTCCTAATTTTAAAACTAAAGGAGTCCCAGGAACATCTGGGGATAGGTATGTACTGGAAAGATGTTCACCCCAGTAGACAAGACTTTCACCAGGGTCTTTATAATTCACGGCCCCATTCCACGTGGACATTCGACTCATGAAAATGTGCAAAAGGAAAAGATGTCAAATTACAGTCAAGTTATCCAGAGGAGAATGTATACAAACTTATAAAGAAATGACAGTCTTTTTTTTTCCTTTACTATAAATACATTTAACAGCTTAGCAGAAAGACAAGCTAATTTCAGATTGTTCACATTTGAAAATTGTATCATACTCTCTGCTAGTGATAAATAAGGAACTCCTGATAATGGAATTTCAACAGAGCAATTTCATCAACAGATCTCTGAAGACCATTTTTAAGAGGGTTAGAGCAATGATTATGTTTGCAAAGTTCTGAGAAGTCCATCTACTGTCCACACTTTGGACTGAAGTCCTTATTTTTGTTTTTTCCTTTACTTAGAGACAGGTATATACAGTGCTGTTGTAATAATGAAACAAATGTGAAATCTACTGTAAAGTTGCACAATACAGAAAACTGTTGCTCCATCTTCTACTACATAAATGTGAGACTCCACAGGTTAGTTATGTTGCTGTCAGATTTTTGTTAAGTTGGAATTATCCCATCACGTCTAAGACCTCTCTTTAACTCCAGATCCTCCAATTTTTTCCACAATTCTTCACGCTCTTTTTCTTTCTTTTTCTCACTGGGGGAAGAAACAGAAAACAATGTAAACAACTGAGAGAGTTTAGAGAGATTATCCAACAATCACAGCTTTTCCCTGTCTTTAAAGAGTTCAGCATTACACTTCTGGGATTTTGGTTTTTGTTTCTTTGAGTTCTCTTTTTGACACTTATATGGATACAAAAGTAGTATTAGTGAACAGAATAAAAGCCTATTTTAAGATTTCAAGTTAATATTCATTTGCACTTAATATAGTGTAAATTAGAATATTGTGTAAAATTATTGTGAAGTAAAATGTTTAGTATCAATTATCTTAAAAATTAAAGCATTTAGTGATTTTTATAATACTTGGGACCTAGTTAGAACCTAATTTTCTCTGTTTCCAAATAAACACAAACGACATACCAGAAATGATGCTGACAGAGAACAGACGAGACCAAGAAAACACACCCTCCCCTTTCTTCATGCCTGTCTCTCCACAGCACACATCGTGAAGCTGTCCATTTCTAAAAACTTATGATTTGCTTTAATTAGTGATCTGCATGGAACTCTGTACTGTGTCATCATGTATTAAAATCTGAAGTTGGCAAGTCTTCAGATGGTTAAATATCAATTTTACCAGCAATTTCCAGACTTTCAGATTTCAATATTTGGTCAAGTTTACCGTAAATGGACAATCTAAAATAGGATCAACAAATTTAATTTTTCCAAAGATATTTTGAAAAAACTTTCCATTTTTTAAAAAAAGAATGTTTTAATACCAACCAAGTAGGTAGTATACAATTAAATACAGTTATTATAAATCAAATACATTCACATTTATTAAAAATATTTCACTGCACTAAAATAACTCATTACACTACCTCTAGATTTCTTATGTTGCAACGAACCAGTAAAAAGTAGACCCAGGTAACACTTACAAATCTACAAATTCAAACACTTCCTCAACACAGAGTTCGGCCACATCAGTGTGAGGAACTGACCCTTGCCCATCCCCCTTCAGCAACTGTACATTTTTTAGTCAGGGAAACTCACAAGGATCCTGTGAACTGTGCCTGGAATTCTAATACCTTGTATTTTTTAAGTAATTACTGATACTTATGCAAATTTATATTAAACTCTATAGCAACACAACATAATTTGCTCCTTGGGAAAAAAAACCCTAGAGCAAGCTGTAATTTGATATTCTCATTCCACTAGGACCTTGCACGAATGCTGAATTACATAATATGGTAGCTCATAGCTTCACTGTATAGTATTCTGGTAACTTAGGCCTTGTTTACTATCGTTCGCTATCTAAAAAATTTTTTTGTTGTTATTTATTTTTATTTTATGTGTTTAAGTATAATGCTTGCACCCATGCCATGCAGTGCCTGTGGAGGACAGAAAAGGGCATTGGATACCCTGGAACTAGAGTTACTGATGGTTGTTAGCCACCATGTGGGTGCCATGTGGGTGCAGGGATTTGAACCCCAGTCTTCCGCAAGAACAGCCAGTGTTCTTAGCTGCTGAGCGCATACTGTTCAAACATTTACTTACTCAGTAATTCTGACCCAGAACAACTGCATTTACGGGACAATAAAAAGCAAGATTAAGAAAAAGGATTTAAGGCCAGAAGTGGTGGTGCACGCCTTTAATCCCAGAACTTGGGAGGCAGAGGCAGGCGGATCTCTCAAGGCCAGCCTGGTCTACATAGCGAGTTCCAGGACAGCTGGGGCTACAGGGAGACCCTGTCTCAAAAAGACCACCCCCCCAAAAAAAAAGATTTAGACTGCAATCCCAGCACTCAAAAAGATTACCTAAAAATCAAGGCTAGCCTTGGGTATAAAATGAGACCTTGTACCTGCCTCCCCTAAAGGTAGAACAAACAAAATAAGATTTTTTTTTTTTTTTTTTTTTTTTTGGGTCTTTTTGGGACAGGGTTTCCCGGCAGCCCCAGCTGTCCTGGAACTCACTATGTAGACCCGGCTGGCCTTAAACTCACAAAGATCCGCCTGCCTCGGCCTCCCAAGTGCTGGGATTAAAGGCATGCACCACCACATCTGGCTCAAAATAAGATTTTAATAAAAATTAAAGACCAGTGTTCAGAGGGAGACAGAAGCTTAAGGGAACGGGAGTGGGCATGGGCTTCAAGAGACAGAGTAGCTGGATTCCAGGCTCTTAGCTGTAAGCAAGTGGATATGCAAATTATCACTTTTTGTCAGTATTTATCATTTTATTTATTTATCTTTATCTTATTGATCTTTATCATTATCATTTATTTATTTATCACTATTTATTTATTTGGGGATAATATTAGTCTAAATGAATGTTCTCAGAGAACACTGTTTTGAGGAAGTGGAGGAGGAGGAGGAGTAAACACCTTGGGAACCTCAATCAACTGAAAATTAGCCTATCACAGTTCAGACTCACACTGCCCTGGCTTGCAGTTGACAGCATTCCAACACTTATCAACACTCACACCTCAGATAGAAGCCTCTGAGTCTGTTCCTCAGCTGTATGCAATGTGATTTGTCCTGTGCGTTCTCTCTTCTGGATGAAATCTATACTGCTATCACACTGCTTTCATACTGAAAACCATATTACAATAAAGTACGGTCTAAGTTTAGGACATTTTCATCATCCCCAAGGAAAGTTTCATCCTGTTGAGGCCCCCAGCCTCCATCAACCACTGATTTGCTCTTTCTACAGGTCTGCCTTTTCTGGGCCTTTTGTATAGATAGTTATATACACTGAAAAACAAAATTCTAAATACTTCTTCACTTCTTTTTTCAGATAGACTCTCATATAGGCCAGGCTGCCCTTGGACTTTGTAACTGAGGATAAGCCTGAGCTGATCCTTCTGCTTCCAACCCCCAAGCGCTGGGATTACAGGCATGGAACACTAATTCCGGTTCCAAAAAATTCTAAATATTTGTCATATATTTGCTACGACCGTTTTTCCCAGTCTCTGTCTCTCTGTGGGTGGAATGCTGACACTCAAGCACACTCTCAGCTGGGGATCCTGTCAAAGTCTCCTCCCATTTCATTTTCACAACACTGGTGCTGGCACATGCATCTAGCAGTGTCAGAAGCCTATCCCACCCACCATTCAGATATGCAATGCTTAAAAATATGCTGTGAACTGAAACCATTAACCCCCTGTCATCCAGGAGAAAAACCTCTCATTCAGTTCTTCCACCACAGTCTCAAATAATTCTCTTCATTCATTTCTATTCCCATGTCTGTGTAAAACCAATACCTCCATCAGCTCAGTACAACCTTCTACTGCTCATCTGGCAAACTATCACCCTTGCTTAAAAGGAACTGTCCATTAAGAAGTTCCATTCACTGCTGGGCATGGTGGCACATGACTAATTCCAGCACTGGGGAGGCAGAAGCAGGTGGTATGAGTTTGAGGTCAACCTGGTCTACATAGCGAGTTCCAAATCAGCCAGGGCTACATAGTGAGACTCTGTCTAAAGAAAGAAAGAAGAGAAAGCCCATTCATTATTAATCACTTTAATATGCCAGAATATCAAAATTAGCCTCTCAGTTCTGTCTATTCCTATTCCTTTAATTAATTCTAATCATTCTCAAGTGACTAATCTATTTAGTTTAGATCAGGAATGATTACAAAACAACTTCATTGTGGAAATTCATTGAATATGAATCAATTTGATTACTTCAGAGTGAGATCTGAGTGTGTTCTGTATGAGTGTGTGTGTGTGTGTGTGTGTGTGTATGTGTGTGTGTGTGTGTGTGTGTGTGTGTGTATGTACTGGTGCTGGAAATCCAGCACAGGCCTTATACACACACTAGTTAAGCACTCTACACTACTACCATGCAGCTCCTTCAATATTCTTGATGAGATTTTACCCATATTTATTCCCTGTTCACCTAGAATAATAAATAATGAGCTTTCTTTCAAAATGTTATCCACCAAGCAGTCTTTAATGGTGTATTATGGTATTCAAATGTGCCCTTAGCCCTTTTTAAAAATAATACTTTTAAAAGATGTTAACTTTGGGGCAAGGAGTGTTTATTACAAATGTAATGCACTGTAACAGCTGATAATACAGTGAATTAAGAGTTATTTAAGATGTGACACAGCATATCCCAGAATTGACGTTCATCTCAATATTGTAATTAACAACTCACAGCCTCCTGTATTTGCCATGCTTCATGATTAAACTGTTTCTCATGAACTATATCCCTGGTAACTTAAAAATATCCCTGCCATGATCCTTGTCCTCTGCCCCCTAATCTTTCTCCTCAATTCCCCTTTCAACAGTAAGACACAAGTAACCCATCCAAACTCAGGTGGGGTGGGGAGAAGAAGAAGAAATCAGAGGATGTTGTCCATGAGGGTCCTAGGTGTGAAAGCTGCACACAGCTACCTCTTCGGTTCTCCAAGGTCCACGTTTTATGATCTATAAAGCTGGCATTTGCTTCTAGGTGCAGTATCAAACCAGAGAACCAACTACTAAAAGAGTTGTCTAGATTTTTCCTGTATATCTTTTGACAAGTTAAACATATTGGATAAGAAATAAAAATTGGCAGAATCATGTAAATAAAATCAAGAAAGTCTTTTTGCTTGTTATAGCCTTACTAAATGCTTCAATAGTTCCTAATACCAGACTATTAACCTCTGTATTTTTTTTTACTGCTCTTTAAGTTGTAATGAATTTGTTGGGTTCCAGAATAGAAAGGTAAGTTCTGGGCAAATAGTGCCTGGTCTCTCTTGCTGCTGGAGTAAAGTACATCACCCATTTTTGGTTCAGGCAGGTTACAAAGGGAGTCAATCCAGGGAACTACCTGATGTCTTCCTACGTGGGCCTGGAAGACAAGTTATGTGTCAGCCTCTTAACTCTGTGGTAGAACAGAAATAAAGAAAGGCAGGAAAGCTGCAGGTTTTATCAAGATGACGCCATCACAAACCTTTATTGCTTGGTGAAAGAGTGCTAAAGACACATCTAATGAGCATGCAAAATGGGAAATGTAAATAAACAAAGCTGTGCTGCTTCTGATCTAAGGTGCAGTTAGACAGCTTCAGCAAAGAGTGAGGAAAGAACTCATTAACTTTATGCACAGCAGACAAAAAAGCTTTAAAAAGTTACCGCTGACGATCTGACTTGTATGTGGCTGTCAGCTCATCAAACATAGTGCTGTTCATTTCCATGAATGCCTTCAACACATTGTACACTAATGCCACGATAGCCCTGCAAAGTAAAGAAAAGGGAATATACTGGTTAGCCTTTCATAATGGGGTGCTGAATGGCAAAAACAAAAGGATAACTTTTGCATGAATGAGCTCCTCTGACATTATGCAACATATAGGTGACGTCAACCTTTATCGAATTTGTTCTTTAACAATTTCACACACCTATAAAGTGCATTCTCATTATGGTAATCCCCATCCTTGCTATTCTCCTCTACCTCCATTATCTTCTCTCCCTCCAAATCCCTTTCCCACATTGATGTCTTTTTTTGTTTTTGAGACAGGGTCTCCTGTAGGGCAGGGCAGGCTGAGCTCACCTGCTTCCTCTTCCCACTGCTGGGATTACAGGCATATGTCCCCTGGTTTCCAATGCCTTGTTAGTTTGGCCAATCAGAAATGACCTACAGTTCATTTCCACATCAAGAGATCTGAATTCTTTACTGTTCAAGATCTTTCTGAGGGATGACAGAGTTAAAATCTAATTTTGCCCTTCTAATTATTGGTACCTAGAATAGATATGCTTGTTGCCAACCAATAACAAAAAGACAAGCATAAAAATAATTTCAGGGGCTAAAGAGATCAGACACACACACACACACACACACACACACACACACACACACAGTGAAAGATAAAGCAATCTTACCAGGTGTGGTGGTATACACCTGGAATCCTGGCACTTGGGAGGCAGAGGTAGGAGAATTGAAAGTTCAAGGTCTATATACAGGAGAGACCATTTTAAAACAAGCAACTACAAATTAAATAAATTAATTTCACCTATAAATAAGTTCCAGTGGTAGGAAAAAAAACTTACTTTTAAAGTAATAATATCAATTCAAACTCAGATGCTATTCCCATAGAAATGAATATATACTCATATGAAAAGCTATGCTATCAAACCTCTCTAAACTGGGTGGGTTAGCTCAAGCATTTCCAGGGTGACTGCATTATTCCATCCACTCCGGCTTAGTCCCCTTGCTGACCTAAAACTGATGCTGACAACTGACAAGCTGGTGATGAATGCTCTTAGAGATGGAGCACTGTGCAGTCAAACAGCCAAAATGGTAGCCTGTTAGCAGAAGAATATGCCCTTGGACAATGTGAGGACTATGACATGACAGACTTGAAAGCTTCAGACAAGGGGATAAATAGTATTTCTCTTTTCAAAATAACTTCCATTTTGCAACAAACACCCCTGATACTAAGAAGGTCTCTATAAAAAGAAAGACATAGCCGGGCGTGGTAGAGCACCCCTTTAGTTTCAGCACTTGGGAGGCAGAGGCAGGCGGATCTCTGTGAGTTCCAGGCCAGCCTGGTCTACAAAGTGAGTTCCTGGTCTACAAAGTGAGTTTCAGGACAGCTGGTGCTACAGGGAGACCCTAACTCAAAAAGACCAAAAAATAAGAAAAGGAAGACATTCTGTCAGAGGTCTGATGTTTCCAAAACATCTAAAGAAAATGCACTTGCTGTACTATTTCTGCCCTGTATCCAATGGAAGGGAAACCTAAGTTCTCTCTGGTAAGGCTAGGAATGACCCTTCTCCCAAGGGCACCAACAAGAAGCACCATTTCTAGGACACTGAGCAGCTACAAACACTGCCTCCAGACCTTCCTGGGACTATCTATTGAACAGGACTTTACTATTCCTTTTTGAAGTTCTAGTAACACAATTTGGCAAGTTAGAAAATTGAAAAATACAGTATTTGACAATTCCATACAAAATTCTAAAAGACAAGTACAAAACACTGAATTACACCTGCTAATTCTTCAATGACATATAAAGCTTTCCTTTACTGCATGGAGAAATATGTGAAGCCATTCCAATCCAGAATACTTCGATTCTTGTAGGGCTAAATTAAACTTGTCCTTAAAGATTTTAAACTTTCCCCCCCTACAGAATCTAACTGAGTTGGTTGTTAGGAAATGAATCTGGCAATAAAATGCAAATCTCTTCACAGTACTTCCTCCCTCACCACCCTTCAGTATTTCCTCATGGTGCTGCTGGTGAAGGCTCAGGTGGGCCTTGCTCCTGTTTCTAGCACTATTCACCCAAAGATCTCATGCCTCTGGCCTCCCAACCTCACAAGTCTCAGAATTTCACAGCACTTTTATGCCTTTGTATGTCGCATACGGATCCCTGTTTGAAAGGCCTTTCCCTACCCAACCATTTACCAAAGTCCTTTAAGATTCAATTTGAAGCCAAGTACAGTCATGAATGTCAATAAGCCCAGCACTCAGAAGGTTCAGGCAGAAGAACCTTGAGTTTAAGGCCAGAATGGCCTATATAACAAGATTCTGCTTTCGAAAAACTTGACAGGTTAATTTGAGACCTCCAGCCAATAGACATCCTTTGGGCTCTAGCACATTCCCAAAATACATCTGCTATCCTCAGTCAGGTCAGAAAGCCTCTCAAAACAGCACTACTTTGTCAAAATGTTTACTTTTTTTTTTTTTTGGTCTTTTTGAGACAGGGTCTCCCTGTAGCTGCAGCTGTCCTGAAACTCACTATGTAGACCAGGCTGTCCTTGAACTCACAGAGATCTGCCTGCCCCTGCCTCCTGAAAGCTGGGATTAAAGGCGTGCACCACCACGCCCAGCCCAAAATGTTTACTTTTAAGTTTCCCAACCAGTCAGGAAATCCCCAGGGGGCAGGCATTTTTTTAATCTTGTCAGTGTATACATGTCTCTAGCAACAGGCACAGCACTGGGCACACAGTGAGCATTAAGACATTTCGAGGAGGAGGAGGAG